GGGAGCCTGTCTGCCCAGGGGATGCTCCAGGGAGGCCAAGGCTCCTCCAGCCAGTGGCATCAACAAGGGAGGGCGAGGGGTGCGGACCGCGACAGGTGACACTCTCACCCTTACCCCTACCTGGTTTCTTTGTTCAATAAATAAATGCGTAGATTGGTGTTCTTTCTCGAAAAGGAACAGCTCCCGCCAACACACAGCTCCCACAACAAAGCAACCCAATCGAACCCTGCCACGATTCTATATAGCGTGCTTCTTAGGACGTTATCACACACGTGGGCCAGAAAGCGATAATAAAGTGGAAATGAGGCATTCCGAAAGTAAACGGAAAATAAACCTCGATTCCGCAAATGGCTTTCACGCGTCGTTACCTTCATTGCGGAATTTACAGTAAGCGCATTGAACGTTCGCACACAAGCGAGAAAAAGCCTGTAAATGTACTAGAAATGAGCTTCTTGCACATGCGCAGATAGAGGAATGCTCGCTGGAACCATGGGAAAAGCAGGGAAATGCTCCCAAATTCGCATTTGCTTTTCATATTACGGTAAATGCGAAATTACCTTAATTTCGCATTTGCATTTCCTCCAAACAACCGAATTTCAAATGATCTCGGTTAACACCAGTTTCTGTCCACTTTTTGTCCAGTTTCTGTGCGACGTTGTGTGAAAACGCGGGGCACAAATCCAGTTTCTGTTTGGGATTTGTGTGGATTAATCAGCAGATTTGCCCCCGTGTGCTAATGTCCTTAGACTGTATTTGTCAGGCGGTACGCGGGCCTCCTGCTGATGGTCGGGCTTGGCGTCGTCACCCCCAAAGCCGCCGCATCCCAGTTAGTATCGTTACTAAAATAAAGAAATACATTCTAATTTTCTTACTGGTGCACATTGGGATATATCAAGGTACAGGTAAAGGGAGTCCCCGTGGACAAGGTCAAGTCGTGTCCGACCGTAGCGGGCGGTGCTCATCGCCATTACGAAGCCAAAGAGCCAGCGTTGTCAAGAGACTACTACTACTCTGTGATCGTGTGGCCAGCATGATGGCACAGAACGTTGTTTGCCTTCTCACCGAAGTGGTACCTATTTATCTACTTGCGTTTGCATGCTTTCGAACT